TTTGGTTTTTTTTTTTAAAGCCCTAAACAGGTTGATAGAATTGTAGAAAGGTAATTCAAAAATTAGATAACTTTTTAGATACCAGAGGTTTGTATTATTGTTTTGAAGTGAGTTGTCACTGTTCGGTACAAATAAAAAAAAATGAGTTTTATTTTCTAGATGTATTTAAGGAAAAACAAAACTAGTATACAGTATATTCTGAGTTCTGGACAGAAATGTATCTCCTGTAAATGGAGCCTGCAATGTTTTGTGGTTTTGTGGGGGTTGTTTTTTTGGTTTTTTGGTTGGGTTTTTTTGAAGGTGTCAGTCTGACAGGAAAGATAAAATTGTTCTGTAGAGTTTTACTGGGATGGGCTTACCTTTGTACGTTAGCACTGAGTTGCAGTGTCAGTGAAAAGTTAAGAGAAATAACTCTGTTCTCTGAATCAAACTTATTGTAAGATCAACTACAATTCTTTCATCTCTGTGTAAAAAGGTGAAGGTGAAGCCAACTACTCAAATCTTTCATTAGTGCTCATTCCCTCCCTGGGTGACCACGCTGCAGCAACTATTTAATGAATTAATCTCTAGGTAAGAAAATGCTACAAGAAAAAAGTGTTGCTTTTCTGCTTGGGTGGACAAATGGCTGGGAGTGCAGACTGCTTCAGTAATGGAACAGATGTAATTCCGTGTATCTTGTGTGTGCTCTGTCACATTCACCCTTTCCTCTTCGGGAAGTAACTCAGCACAGCTACCCTTTAAATTCAGAAACTACTCCAAGGCGTTTGAAAACAGTGGGGTGTTAAGCAGAGCAGAGAATGGGTGGTCTACAAGGAATTTTCCATTACCAAGACAGAAAGTTGTGTTTTGTTTTTAGTGCTTTTAAAACTAGTTCCATTAAAATTTTTAAAATAGTATACAGGAAGAATAAATGAAAACTGGGATAGGTAGAGCATAACCGTTTTAACCTTTCACTGTAATGTTCAACAGTATCTCTACCATAAAAGGGACATAGATTGTTCCCAACAGCAGAACTTCATTGAAAGTTTCTAAATGCTAAACCTCTCTAGAGTGAGGTTGTCGTTTCACTTGATTTTGTGTGTGTATGCAATGTTCATTGTTATAATAGATTCTGTACAATTACTATGTCCATTTCTGAAATAGTGCCGTGTTATATGTAGCTATACTAATATGTTTGGGAGGAATCCTTATTGCAACTTACTGTGCTTGATAGCCTAGTGTTTTTTAAAGTCACAGTGTATTCATGAATCTAGTGGTTAATAAGCAATTGTTTCATTTTTCCAATAGCAGATGATTTATTTAGCAGCTGAAGTTGACAATGTCAATTAATTTCTTGGGCTAAGTTTCAGAAATTTTCTAAGTGTAATTCTTTAAAATAAAAAAGCCACACTTTTTACAGTATTATTTTAAAAACCAAATACAGTAGAAAGCTTTTAAAGTGTATTGATTTGGAACTCCTGATTGATTAAGGGGAGGAAAAAATAATGAGATGTGAAATCATGATACTTTAGTGATTTGTGAGCAGTAATTACCAGAAGCTAGCTCAGATTTTCACATCTTTGTTGTCAGCTACGCATCTTTATGCAATAGTGAATTATGCTTACATTGCGTACTACTTCGGGCCATGTAGTGACTTCTGAGCTTATTGTTTCACGTTACATGAGCAGGCTAAATGCCCAAGTTTATTCAAGAAAGTTGAATAAAGAAAAACAGAGGTTGATGACACATTAGATTTCCTTGTACAAAATATACAAAGAAGGAGCTGTCCTCACTCTTGCTTCATAGTTAGTCCTCTAGGTTCCTGTGAAAAAGCTTAGGTGGTGATCAGCCATACCTCTGAGAATGTTCTAAACAGGTAAAGGATGTACTTTGATTTCTGTAAGACATGGATCAGTCTGTCTTTGGTGGCTGTAAGATGTTTCTGGGCAAATTTTTTGAGAGGGGTAATAAATAGGAGCACCTGTATAAGTAAAATAGTGCGGGAAGGATACCTGGTTTCTATCTTAAATTATGGTGTGGTCATACTGTTTTAAACACTGAAAGGTCTGTTAGAAACATAGACAAAAATGATAACTTTTTTTTTTCCCCCGCTGGTGTTATACTGGTGAGCTATTACAGGGCAGATGAATTAGTCTTGCATATTTATTTGTGGATGAGGCATATTCCTGACTTTATGCCAACAGTTGATAAAGCTTATCTGGTGTTTCTAGAAGATGCCATATTGATGCACATATTCCACATGCAGTACCCATGAGAATTATGTCTTTCATTTGAACTTCATATCTTCTCATGTCTGAGAACTGCAGAAACGAATCTGGCATGTTTCAGACCCTTAGCTGTTTTCCCAGTAATCTTTTTCACGCTGTGTCCTGGTTTCAGCTGGGATAGAGTTAATTTCCTTCCTAGCAGCTGGTACAGTGCTGTGTTCTGGATTTAGGGTGAGAACAATGTTGATAACACACCGATGTTTTAGTTGTTGCTAAGCAGTGCTTACACTAGCCAAGGACTTTTCAGCTTCCCCTGCTCTACTGACTGAGCAGGCTGGAGGTGCACAAGAAGCCGGGAGGGGGCACAGCCAGGACAGCTGCCCCAAACTGGCCAAAGGGCCATTCCATACCATGGGACGTCGTGCTCAGTACAGAAACTGGGGGAAGCTGGCCGGGGGGGCCACTGCTCGGGGACTGGCTGGGCATCGGTCGGCGGGTGGTGAGCAATTGTACTGTGCATCACTTGCTTTGTGTAGTATTATTGTTGTTGTTGTTGTTATTATTATTATCATAATTTTATTTCAATTATTAAACTGGTTTTATCTCAACCCACTCAACTATATATATATCTCAACTATATCTGTGTTTATCCAGTAATTGTTTTCATGTTTACATTTAGATGATAGAATATTCACAACAATGTATCCCCTTTTCAAAATATTAGTTTTATTGATTGGGTGTTTTTTAAATGCTTAATCAGGGTCTACTAGCTTAAACTGCAGTGTTCTTAATTTGTTGAAAAAATGTACACGTCCAACATGAATGTAAAAATATTTTAAGGACAAAAACATACACATAAGATACTGGAAAGCCTAACAAATATGGTAATGCTACTTAATGTCTTTTAGTAATTGTTACATTAACAAGAGGATTTAAAATCTACAGACTTTTATGGGTTTTCTGTGTTGGGATAAGAATTGACAGGCTGCAGTCTATTCACTATGTTATGCTGCTTGTATATGTGTGTTGCACATCTGGCTTTGAATTAAGAAACTATATCTCTTCTCTCCCTTTCTTGTCTACTGTTTCAAATATTTGAACAGTCTGTATTCTCACCTTACTGCTGGTACTACACTTTGTTACCATAGGCTATACACAGCCTGGGAGGAGTTTCAGTCATCAAAGAGTTTAAATGTATTGCTGAAGTTAAGCTGTGGAGTAATAGCAAAGCCAGTATTGGCATCATGACATTCGGAGTTGAATGGATTCCTAAACAAAGAAGAAATGGGTTGTCAATATGATCATTGGCACAAAGAAAAGTTTTTGCAGCAAAAGAACTCTTATGCTTTTTCTTCTTTCCTTTCCTTTACCATAAGAATTGAGCTAGCTGCTCTTCCTGGTCTTTTTCTGTCCTAGAGGCCTTTCTTTTCTTTCTGTTCTGGTGGCAAGATAAGGTGTTTCAAGAAGTGTTTATCTTGAGCTGATCACAGATTTTCCGCCATGATCTGGATTATTTGAGTTCCTTTGCAATGAGATGCTGTAGTTCTGTGCTTTGCAGATGACTTTCAGTTCTGAGGAATAACTGGAAACCTTCACCTTTGAAAGATCTCGTGTTTAAAATCCTGAAGTCTCCAGTTAATAATAGAAATAGACTATGTTGACAATTAGCGTGATGAATAGAGCAATGGTCCTTGAGTGGAAAGCTCATGGAATCTTCTTTCCTTTATACACTTTCTCTCTTCACATGGGGAAAGCTGCTGTGCATCTTCCTTCCTTTGCACAGGTATTACTGGATGGCATAAAGAACAGGAGTAGTGAGGGGGAAAAAATATTTAGAACTTAAACATGCTTAATAAACACAACAGTCTTACTTCTGAAGTCTTAAAACAGAAAATTTAAGTTCTGGAACCTAAATTATCTGTTTCAGATTATTATTTTAGATTATAAATATGGAGAATGGAAGTCTTCAGGTCTAAGGCATCATGTAGCTCATAAGAAAGCAGAGGGGCTAGGACTGCCCTCTACTTACCACTGATGGAATACCTATATCAGCCTATCAACAGTTGTTTTGCGGTGTTACTGTTTAAAGTTACTGTTTGCACCTTATGGGCATCAGAAGATCAGACAAGGAACTGAAAACATAGAATTAGATTAATTGGGTAAAATTGAAGGTTCATCTAGTTTCACTCCTGTCTCTTGAAGTCAATCAATAGTGGAAGTCTGTGGGGAGTATAACAACAACAGAAGAGCATGGGGAGGCATTTCCAGGATACTCTTCTCAGACATAAGTCTGTGTAACAAAATAATATACGTTTCCTGGTGTGACGCTTCATAGGTGTGCTATGGACCTGCAAACCTGTGCCAGCTTTTGGAGCTGAAAATAAGGTATAAAATGTTTTCTAAACCCTTGGGAAACTCCCAAAACTTGCATTGTTCTTTTGGATTACAGGTTGAGGATGGTGATCCTTCACCCTTTGGCACTAGAAGACTGCAGAGCAGATCCTCCTCTGTGGGCAGTTCTGTTGTTAGTTGTTCTGTTAGTTTTGTACTTTAGTGAGAAATGTCACTGGTGACCACAAGTGACACGGTCAATATGTTCCCAGAAGACATTCCTAAGAGTTGGGAAGGGCTGGTATGCAGTCCTGATGTTGTCTTTCTTCACCTAAAAACAACAGAAAAAGTGCTTCTTGCACTCCATTTACTGTTGTCCTTTCTCTTTTAGGCAGCTTTATTGCAAATATTCTTTTTTTTTTTTTTTTTGGAGGGGGGTAATTTATTTCTGTTTTCTCTTTTCAGAGTGCTGAAGTTTAAAGTTGATACTTCTCAGTTCCTAGGTATTTTGTTTTACGTTTTGTTTTGTTTTAAATAGCATTGTGATTATTTGTTGGGAATCATCTCCTGATGATGTGTTGAATCTAGAATCTATCCAAACTTTACATCTGGCTATCTGTAAACATTTTACTGTGTCAGCAACCCCTCAACTGCTGATAAACTACCTGTGAACAAAGAAAAAAATGGGGCTATCTGAAGTCACTCCTTTCATCATTTTACCTCTTTCTAACTCTAAAACTGCTAGCAGCTATTCCAGTTTGTGACTGCGAGACAAGCTGTTAACGCAACCTTTGTCATTTCAGTTTTTCACACTTTCTTCTTTGTAACAGTCTTTGCCATTTCAATTTTTCGCACGTTTGTGTGTGTGCTTGTCTTCATACAGTACATGAGCTGTAACTCACTGAAGACTCATGTTGGCAGGCACCTGCCATGGGCCGTTCATTTGTCAGAACATACTAGTTTTAAAAAAAAAAAAAAGTAAAAATAAAATAGGCCCACCTCCAGCCCTGGGAGTGGGAAAAACAAGCCAACAAAAACTGGCTGCAGTCAGTGCTGTGGTTTGTGCTCATGCAGTGCCAGGTTGTTGCAGTTCATCAACCAGACTGAAGTTGGAGAACACCCCTTTGCTGTCCTGTTTCACTGGGGGTCATCAGTTGAAAGACTGTTTCTGTTGCCTGTTAAAGAATAATAATTGTAGCAGTGAACTTCAAGTGTATTTGGAGGAGGTATACAAGGGATGAAGGATGTATGGTAAAGGTAACAAAAAGAGAACTTGCAGATGTTACATGAATATAATCTCCTAGCATTTATCGCACCTCTTGTGACCATTTTACAGCAGCCAGAACCATCACCTACTGCCAAAAAATGGGACAAGAGCTAGTGAGAATGTTTTGGTTAGATTTGGAGGTCTGAATATCAACCTTAAAACTCACAGGGAAGAGTGATGAAAGATAATGTTTCACTGTCTGCTGGCACAACTTACAGGTGATCTCTAAGAGATACTGTCTTCTGCAGGAGAGCTTACAAATATGAAATTAAACAGCTGTGCTCCAGATGTATTGATCTGTGTGAGTGTTAGAGCTGACTTAAAATGGCAGATTATGGAGAGGGTGAACTTGGGAGTAAATGACTCTAGTGCAATACAAAACCCCCTAATTTTCCTTTAAATTTGAGAGAAGCTTAAGCAAGAATTTTTATCACGTAAAAAATTGCTTGAGCTTAATCAATTTCCCAAATAAAAAGCCAAAACCAAAACCTTAATTTGTATTTGAGAGTTAGCAGCTGTTGCTGTTAGTCAAGAGAAGTGAATTGTATTTTTCAGTTCTGAAAGATCTTTCTCTCTTTAGCAAACCCAAGCCACAAATAAACCCTTTCAAACGTCTACTTCTTTTGATAGTGTCATAGTGGCAGTATAATCCAGAAGCAGATTTTGTGTTAGGACATTAAAAAACCTTACTTTTCAAATTTCTAATTAGAGGTGTCTACCTGGAAAATCTAGATGAAGACTTGCAAGAAGAACAGTTCAGAGAATATCTAGATAATTTTGGCAGTAGCTTCTATTTAACATGTTGCATCATTTTTGCCTTCTGGATTGGTGACATATGTATGCAGTGATGTGCTTTGAGTTTAAAAGCTTTGTCTGGAACTTCTAGAGTGGACACATTTTTCTTTTAATTCCAAATGGAAGGTATTAAAACAGTTCAGCTTCTCATATTTGTTCATTACAAAGCCCTGTGCTTCTAGCACTAAACATTGTACCCTATGCATAAGCATTTTTGCCAGTATTTTTATTGAAATAATGACAGGTGGGTCAAAGGCAGTCAGAGGACTTGTGTGTATGTTTTAGAACCTTTTTGAGTTTTTTTCCTTGATTCTTAAAGAAAGTGCAATCGCTTCTGCCATTTTCTGTGGCCCTTGCTGGTCCTCTTCTTTGTGCAAGCAGCTGCTCTCATTTGCCTCCTTCAGCAACCATCAGGCTTTGTCTCAGGCTGCTGCCTAGCTCCAGTAATTATAATAAATTCTTTACAGTTTTGGATTCAGAAAATAAGATCTTCAGTCATTGGGCAGTAGTTGAGATGGAACAAATGGCTAATAGAAATGGGTTAATATTTAATTTTTATTCCAGTGGTTTTACTTTGAAGCCTTGTATGATGGTGTTCAATAATGAATATTTCTCTGTATCTTCAAGTATTTTTTGCATAGAAGACATGGTATATTAGAATTCGGGAGGAACTGCATTTCAGTTAAACCTCCCTGGAGATCTCTGAGAGCTACTCGAAGCTGAAGTACCACCAAGTGAAACAGTAATCAGTGGGTCATCAGTATAAATGTTCTTGGTCAGTTTGGGAAGGAACAGTTCATGTTGAAGCAAGACTTGGAAAATGGGCCAAGCAAGAGTCACTGAACAATATGGGCATTAGGCATAGGTTCACTGAGGCCATGCTTGTTTGGGGAAAAATGCAGATGAACAGAGGAAATGGACAGGAGAAGCCTAGCTGGGTCCTTGCAACTCTGGAACTTGGGAGATAATGCAAACCAAATGAATCCTAAAAGTTCATCTGATTTGTTTGCTGTGTAAGAGAAAATTAAAGCAGTCTGAATATACATGTAAGCTGTACGTGTTCTATTATATTTCTTCATTCACTTAAGAAGGTTGCTGGCTTTTATTTTTAGCTAAAAAAATGCTTGAAGGTAAGATTACTAAATGCTGGTAATGAGCTGTTATAAATTGATGGGCTGTTTCCTGGTTCCAACCTGAGCATAATAGTTGAACTTCGAAAGAGATGAGGGTGATTTAAGACAGGGCACAGGTGAAATTATCCCTATGGTCTTGATGTGCTGTTGACTTCTGAATGTACAAGATTTATTTTACTGGGGCATTTAATTTTGAAAGCTTTCTGCTGTGTCTCCGAAGTTAATTATACTACACAAAGGTATTCAGTGGGGTGGGTGTGGGTGCCAAGACAAATTCCTAAATAAATAAAAAAACACCTGCTGAAACCTTGCATGTTTGTTCTTCTCTTTTTGTAATAGCGCTTAGCTCTTCCACCTTCTCTGAGTCTAGCTGATTGTGAAATCCTGTGGTGCCCTCCGGTGGATAAATTGTAAGTAAACATATTGGCCTGTTTGGAATAGGGCTCATGAAACCCACTCAGAAAACCAGCAACAACAGCGAAAGTTCTAAGAGTATTCAGAAAAAAAAAATCTAGATTGTGAATTTTGGTAGACGTACGAGTGTGCAGTATTACTGAATGGTTTCTATGTAGGGAGCAGTCTGAGTTCCTCTTGCATTTTAACGTCCTCAAATTTGCTCTTGACTGCCTGAAAATCAATTTTACGTTGTTTCCTAAAGACTTGAGGGTTTTCTGTATTGATAAACATGCACCTATCGTTATGTGCCTTCTTAACTTAATATGGATTGCCCCATCTTTACAGAACTAACAGCCATTTTCTATTCCCAAACTTTTAATGCACAGTCTTCAAATTGAGATGCTAGATATGTGTTAAAAAACCCAACAAAACAAAAGCTGAAAAGATGGTAGTTTGGATACCAGGATAGTTTAATAAACTTAAGAAACCCACAAAGGATTAAAATCTGAGCAAAGACTACTGTGCCTGGGAGAGCTCTGTAGAAGCTATAGAGCACAGGATGAGAAGATCTGGATGAATTACTCTTCCCCCCCCACCTTCTTATACACTACTGGAAACTTCTAGTCTTGTCTTCATTGTCTTTTCTGTTATTCTGTTTTCTGTGAGGGATGTTAGTTATGATGTCTTACTGAAGAGACCACAGCATTATACTGCACTTTAAGATTGCTGTGTGGTAGTATAATTCTTAGGACACTTTCTACATAAATATTTGATTTTGTTTACATGGGGATTTTTTCTAGAATGGACAGAAGGGGAGGGAGGTGACTCTAGACAATCATTGACAATTGGTACAAATCATTGAGAGCAAAATTCAGAATTAGTCTTGAGTCTAGTTGTGTGCCCAGATAACTTGAAAAACTTACACAGTGATCAGCAATATGTCAAAATCAAAATAAGTTGCTAAGATTAAAGGAGTCTTTTCTCTAGAGAGATCAAGATGGGGTTTTTTTTTTGTGTTCTTTATTTGTTTTTAATCGATGATGACTGGAGTAGTGTGGTAAGTTGTAGAAACAAAAGATTTTGTAACTTAAAGCAGGTGATACACCTTTCTAGTCTGTCTAAAGTCCAGAAGTGCAGTGTTCGTACTGATATGACTGCTGTTTTTGTATTCGGAAGGTAGTTCTGAGAACATACTGAATTGCTCTGTATAGACAATGAGAGAGGCATTGTAGGCTCTAAGTTATGTGATGGCCTAATTTAAAAAATGAAACAGCTTTAATGAACTGTTTGTAGAAATACATGATGCACTTAAGATAGCCTTTGTATTGTTTATTATAATAAACTTTTTTATGCTTTTACCACATTTGCTTTTGCTAAATTAGTGGTCTTTGTTGTTGTGGTTTAACCCCAGCGAGCAACTAAGTACCACACAGCTCCTTGCTCACTCCCCCTGCCCCAGTGGGATGGGGGAGAGAATC